TGTTTTTCCTTTGTTTACAGTTTCATTATGTCTAATCGTTATGATAGTGATTCTGTTTCATTCTGTACTGATATTCATTATTTTTTAATGGGTAAATGGATAAATACGCCTAGCCTAGGGGGGGAGGGGGAGGGGGTAAAGGACAAAGGGAGAATTGAGACTCCCTGACTGGGACATATTTCAGTAATCAGTAACAAATCCTGGACTGCCTGTGTGTTGTGACTTTACCTATCAATTTGTATTGTTATCGATTTTTAGATGATACACAAAATAGTTTATGCACATATTTTTACTTTTTTTCTCCTTTTTTTTTACATCACAGTGATATTGATTATACTTTTGACCTTTTTTCTATGTAAAATCATTTGCAAGCACCCGTTTGGATTTAATCATGCTATTCCTGACATAAGAATGTGTGTGTGCACATCTTTGAAAATACACCGATGAATAGCAATGAAATACAGATGTGTGAGCAAGCCTGCCACGATATCCCTCGCCTGCTGATTCCCGGAGAGGCAACAAAGCCGCGTTCGTGCTGGTGCCCCGTGGTCCGTCGAACTCCGAGCCTCCGTCGCCCAGGCACCGGGAAGAGGCGCCGCCGGAGGTGGAGTTCCTCACACTCGTTCGCGCCAGGGAGGGCTTCCCCTTGTGTCCCAGGGGGGATTCTGGAAGGAGAGGTCATATCGCGGCCGCGATGGCAAGGTCACGAGGTCAGGATAAGCCCGAACGGGAGGAAGAGGATGAGCTCGTCTGCAGAAAACCACGCTGGATGCCTTTTGAAGCTGTGCCTCGGACGCGAATTTCCCTCTTTGACTTCATTCCAGTAATGATGATGTTAAAACAGCGAGAAAACGTACGCATTTAGGAAAGCGATCGTTGAACTTCAAGAGAAGAGAGCGTTATCCTCAAATGCTAACCCACTAATTTTACTGATTATGAACTAATTTACTTGTTGTCGTTGTTGCTGCTGCAACCACTACTACTACTGTTATTGTATTATTGCTGATGATGACGATGATCATCGTCACCATCGTCTTCTTCATCATGATGTCTTGAACTTGCAGACACTGTTACATAAAAACAGTCACGCCAGTCACTTAGTCCGTCCTGCCGAAAACAAGTTTCCGTCCACAGAAGGAACCCTGTGACGTCCATTGTTCCAGACCTTCTTCGTACTCTGTTCCGGTCTCTTTTCCGGTCCTAGATCTCCTGCCGGCGGCCGTGCGATGCAAACGACGACGCATTCAATGCCCTCCGTCAGATCTTCCTCCCGACGCGGACGCCTCTCCTGTTCCGGCCGACTTTGATGGCAACGGCCACTGACGGCATCCTCCTTGCGTCACCACATGGCTTTCTTGTATTCTGCCGGGATGAATTAGCTGTAGAAAAAATGCGTTAAAAAAGTTGTCGAGACGCATTATCTCTGCAGAGTCTGACGCCCGATCTCTGTATATAACAAAGGGAGGGCGTGTAGGGCTTGATGGAGCTATCATGGTCAGTTCCGCTACAGCGACAGCGAGATAAGATAGCCGAGATATGCTATCAGAGAGCTGGAGTGCCGAGAAGTGCCAGCGAGGGCAGTGACGAGGTGCCACCCCGATACGTGGGGCGCTCGCTTTGTTGTGCCGCGACTGGTGGCTTCGGATTCTGGAAGGCATTTGGAAGTGCGTGCAAGAGAGCGTGCAGGGAGTGAGTGCGTGGATAAATGAGTGGTTTAATGGGTGAGTGAGTGAGAGGTGAAGGCGAGAGTGCAAGTCCGAGCGACCGGTGGAAAGGTTACATCAGGTTGTGCCAGTTCTCGGAATATATCGCGCGAGCAGACCATCTCTCGCCGCAGGACATTGCAGTGTCTCTCCTGTTGTAGGAGGCGGGCGGAGCGAGCGCAGGGCAGCATGATCACCTCCTTGTTCGCGTTCAAGCGGCTGAAGGATGACTGCGACGAGGACGGACGCGGGCACGAAGGAGCCGAGACCCGGGAGCGTGGGAGGCTCCGGTCGAAGGACAAGACATGTGAGGAGGATCTTCTAGGCTTTATTTAGTGGCTCGTCTGTCTGTCTTTTTGTCTGTGTGGGGCTTTGGTGTAACGCAGGCGTCGCTGCAGCGTCTTCAGAAAGCCAGAAGGAGATGGCGGAGTACACGAAGACACTCCGTTCCTACCACCTGGCGGCCGAAACAGCCTTGAGGCGTCAGGGCGACGAAACCAAATAACTCAAATCCCAGAATGCTGGGCCTGGAGGGAAACGTATCCGGGGAACAACATATGGCCTTGACGTTTAGGATACCCGAGGTCTAAATAACTATCCGTTAGACCTTGAGGAGACCCAGAGCCAGAAAAGGTCGTTGCGAGCGGTCGAGATTCGCCAACGCTCGCCCTGCACGGCTGTTCGTGTGTGGCATCTCCGCCCGCCACGCCGCTGCCGACCCCATCAGGGCAATTGGGCGTCAGACGTCAGTTTAACTGGAAAATGTAATGGACAAGCTTTACTGCGAATTGTATACGTGGCTTCGTATTCGTTATATTTTTTTTAGCTGGAGATAAATTCTTACATATATATATATATATATATATATATATATATATATATATATATATATATATATATATATATATATATATATATATATATATACACATATATATGCATACATGTAAATATATATACACATATATACATATATATATATATATATATATATATATATATATATATATATATATATATATATATGTGTGTGTGTGTGTGTGTGTGTGTGTGTGTGTGTGTGTGTGTGTGTGTGTGTGTGTGTGTGTGTGTGTGTGTGTGTATACATATATATTTGTGTGTGTGTGTGTGATTTTTTGTCTGTATGATATACACATATATATTTTTTTATTTTTCATTAAAAGCATATACGGCAACCTACACCCATAGGTAAGCACACGCACCTGTGTAAATTATAATATTTTGAAAATTTTCTACAGACAGTCCTGCCGTTTCTGGTTGCTGATGAAACCCGCAGTTAACGAGTTTCTCTCTGCAATGACCGTCAACGATGCTCATTTATTTCGCGAATTAACGAGGAGTGAGGGCTGGCACAGGTCAGAGGCCTCTGAATGCAGTGCAAGAAAAATGTGTCGGGTGGACACTGCCAAACGGTTTGGGAAATGGGTACACAGACTGCAAGCTTTTCCATAGATGATATATTTTTCCCAGTGTGCAATGCATTTCATTTTCATTTCTGCGAAATCTCCCTCATTATGTGAAAAGAATCGATAATTAGTTTGTCAGAGAACGATAATTTCGTCCCACTTCCACCATTCCTTTAAAAGCAGGCGATTGAGTGACCCCGGGAGGAAGGGAGGCACGGGTTAGTCCATTCGTTCGGTCGTCCGGCCTGCGTTCAGTTCATTCATAGACGTGACCTTATTCTTGGAGGGATGAGGCATATCTACGGCGTTGTACGTTGACCCACTTCTTATACGGCCATTCTCACCTTCAGCGTATATTTAGTTCATGCATATCCGTAATCCCTTTTTGTACATCAAAACTTTCCCCCTCGGATGTACGCTTTCGTGCAGGCCTTTGAGAGAAAATATTCCACCCTGATTGCTACGTAATCATGCTTACGTAAATGTAAATGTTTATAAAACGCTTCTTTCGGTAATAAGATTTCGGGAATACATGCCCAGATTTTAAGCAAATGGAACTCTCTTGTGTGTTATATTGCACAGCCATTAATACGTCACAAGAAGTACGTGCAGTGAGAGTTTCGTCGGCGCCGCCTTCGCCGTCTGTCGTCGTGAGGAACCCCGTCGGGCTTGTGAGCTGGGAGCGTTTGTTTGATCGTCGTTTGTCTGTTCATCAAGTTTATTCGTCTGTTTATTTGTCTTGTTGTTTGTCTGTTTTATTTAGGTTACTTATTTGTTTGTTTTTATTTTTGTCTATTTATTTATTTGTGTATGTGTGTATCAAAGGGGTCTTTGCCTTTTGGCTGCCTTACATGCAAGCGCAATCATATAGGTAGATGCCCAAAGAAGAATGTGTGGCCTATTAAACCTTTTTTTGTGAGAAACGTAAATAGACTTGACATCAATATGTTTGATTAAAGTTGCTGGTGTTACCACCAAGCATTTGCTTTTAGATTCTGAGATGATGGTACGGGGGATATGTTGGGTTATATTTGTCAATTTGCTTCTCGGGAAGTGTTTTCTCTTTTTGGTTGCTCATACGAATTAGAACCTTTATTACGTAACACGCTCCTAAACACATTCACACGCACACTCACACATTCACACATGTACACGCACACCTACTCACTTAGGTTCACATACACGCAAACGCAACGCACACACATACACACGCATTCACTCTTATTAGGTTGATTAGATTAGACTGAGCCTCTGAGCCTTTTGGCAGGAGTTTCATAAAGAAATCTAATTTCCACACAGTAAATGTCATTATTCTGTTTACTTGACAAACCCAGTTGAATGTGATATTTTCCCAATAAGCCATTCGGGTGTTATCGCAGGATATTTACTTGCATCATATATAGATTGTGCAATATTGTGTCGAGCAACCATTTTCAAACAAAGTTTTATAATAGGAGCACGTAATTTTGTTAATGCAGTCAACATTTTCGAGAGCTTGCTTTAAGAAAAAATATGTAACATAAACCACGAGTTGTAGATATTTTTTTTAGAATGGAACTGATCCCGAAGAAAACGGTAAGGTGCCACAGGATTTTTTCATGAGCAATATCATGATAAAGAAATGATAGACATATCCTCTCCGTACATGTGTGTATGGGGGGGGGTAAGAATATAAATGTTTATCCTAGTATTTATCAAAATGTTAAAGGATGATGAAATAAAGTATGGGTCAATATAACAGTATCTCTAGCTTAGAAGAAATATGAACGCGATAAAGGAAAAAAAAACATATCGCCAGTCACATTTCTGTCTCTGCAATGACGTAGTGTCCTCGGCCACACTCCTTACTCATGGCGTCCTTTCGTTGCAGATGGAGCTGACGACAAGCCCTTTATGGTTGACATGAAGGAGATGAGCGGATACGAGAAAAACCTCTACCTCTACTCGGTAAGTTCCTTCTAATTATTCTGGTGCCTTCTGTCTGACGTCTTTTGGGGAAAGTAGGGAAATATGTGGGAAGTTTTTATTGATCTGTGTATTTAGTTTTTGCAGTTGAATATATGTGAAGTTATATATATATATATATATATATATATTATATATTATATATATATATATATATTATATATATATATATGTAACACAAGGTCGGAATCCATATTTGAGATATTAAATAGGTAGTTAATCTCTCTATGGCATGAGTGGAATGTAGTTTTCGATAAAAAAGGATCAAGTATGAAAAGTAGAAAATCGCTTGGCTATCATGTCACGGGTACTATACTTGAAAATCCGAATTCATAAGCTGCTTTTCTTGGTGATATTGTGATGTGACAGTGAGTTAAGGTGGTAGTGCTGAGGTGGGCGTTGTTTACACCGCTGTGTGTTGGCTGTGGTAGTTGAGGAGCCGGAGAGATTGGTGCGTCGAGAGGGTGTGGCTTGAGAGAATGGATGCTGGATGGGATGCCCTCCAGTAAGGACTGTTATTTGTATACTCGTCTCTCTCTCTCTCTTTCTCCCTCTCCCTCTCTCTCTCTCTCTTTCTCTTTCTCTCTTTCTCTCTCTCATTCTCTCTTTCTCTGTTTCTCTCTTTCTCTCTCTCATTCTCTCTTTCTCTCTCCTACCCCTCCCCTCCCCTCCCCTCCCCTCCCTACCCCACCCTCTTCCTTCTCTTATCCCTCTCCCTCCTCCTCCTTCCCCCTCCCTCCTCCCCCTTCCCCCTCCCTCCTCCTCTATTTGTCTCAACCCTTCCTCTACCCCCCCCCCCCTTCCCAGCCTTTTCCTTTGTAAAAGCACAAGGTCTTCCTTCCACGGAAGGAAGCCACGTGTTGAAGTGAAGGAAATGTCCGCCTCTATTAATAAAGAAAAAAGAAACAAGAAAGGGTCACTAACAACGCAAGTTCGGGTGCTTTGGAATCATGGGTTGACACCCCCCCCCCCTCTCGCTGCTGTTGTGAGCGCTCCAGGCTCCCCCCCCCCCCCCACGGAGAGCGTCGAGTCGACAGTTACTCCGCCTCGAGAGGTCGCGGGTCCGGGCCTGTGAAGTCCGTTGTTTACAGGGCTATGAAGCCTTGATGTCGCCTCGCTTGATCTTGCTGTCTGTTGAAGGGCTTGGGACATGGGGCTTCTGGGTTGTGTTGATAGACAATTATCTTTGGTGCAGTTCCTGGCATTCAACATAGGGAAACACGTCGCCAGTTCTCTGTTGGGAGTTTCTGTATTTCCGGATGGCTTCGGGCGTTTATGATTGTTTCTTGGCGGCGTGTAGTGGGTCGTCTTGCGTAGCTAGTGATGGTATGATGTCGGTTGAGGGTGGTCAGGGGGCCGAGAGCGCGCCTGCTCAGATTGCCGATGGTGTCTGTGGATGTGTAGCTTATGAATACGGGTGCCAGAAGATACCAAGGTGAAATAAGATTTGCCGATGCAATATGCAATTACTGTCGACGGTACGTTATGTTTCAAGTTGTGGAATCCATCCCTTAAGTAATTGTTTGGAAGGAATGCCCCATTTTTCTTTTGGGTTTGATGTTTGCCATTTGGGCATATATGCTTATTTTGCGTTCGTGTAACAGACGAAGTGCACTCCGCTGTAAAGTAAAATCCACCTCTGTGCTTTAGCAGATGGAAACGCACATTTCATTGCTTCGGTTAACTTTATTGTTATAGATCGATCGATTGTGATTTGCGAAGTTCTAGCTTCGCCCGGGCCTTCGGCTATGGCCCGGCCTGTGTCAGCTTGTTAGGGCTGACTCATTTCGATCTATGGCTCTCGGTGCTTACCGTGGCGGTGGGATTGCCAGCAGGCGCTCCTGCTGCCACGGGGTAAGCGAATCGCAAAGTCTCTTTACCAGCACGGCGGCTGTTGTCGGGGGTCCCTGTCTCAGGAATTGTGTGTGTACACAATTCTCTAAGTAATGTATAAGTGTGGCGTTCGGCTCGCCGCAATGCATGCAACACCTCTCTTCATGGACAATGGTCTCAATTATCTGCCATTTACAGTGGTAACCTAGGCGCATTCTGTGGAGAATGACTTCGGTTTGTCTGTCTTTTAGCTCAGAGAGTGCCAGTGGTTCATAGCCCGTTGCTTCTGAATACCATCTGGCCGAGGGGGAGGATCTCGTTGCCTCTCTGTGAAGCTGCAGGAGGAAGGAGTTGGCGACACCAGTACTCTTCATCCGAAGTAAATTACGGCTAGGTGCAATGATCGATCCAAGTTTATATGTTTTCGTAAATGTAGCGACAGCACAGTGTCCATTCAGAATAAGTTTTCATTGCAAAAATAAGCCGCTTATATGCACTGCTTTAGGCAGATAGGAATGACATAAATGAAGCAGATGATTTTGAGAATACTTTTAGAAGGGAAGAATCTGCAA